CTTATACATTTATTTTTCATAAATTTTAAGCATTACAATATAATTATTTGTTTTCATAGATTTAATTTCACTGTCTTGATTATAAATACCAATGGAAATGGGGTGGGCTAATGTTGGGGGATGTAAATATAAAATGCTATCCTATTTAATGCATAGGGTAGCATTTTATGGGGTGGGCTAATGTTGGGGTGTGTAAATATAAAATGCTATCATATTTAATGTATAGGGTAGTATTATATATATATAGATTTATTTTTTTATATTATCTATCTGAAAACATATGTAAAGACTATTATATACAACTTTCTAGACACATCTCTCAATTCCAATCAAATGTTTTTTTTTTCAATTCTCTTGGCTTACTTTCTTGTGCTTCAAACCTTAATGCAAGGAAGATTAAACCACCTTCTAATAAAAAAAAATATAAATAACATAATGCAAGTAATTAAAATTGGACCACCATCCTAATCTTGAACAAACAAAAATACGTAAAGTAAGATTGGATCACCTTCCTAATCTTAAAAAAATAAAAACGACGTAATGCATTTCCTTTTGGAAGGAGCAGAATAATATGTTGGGAAAAGCAAAAAAATATGTATGCATTCACTTTCTAGAAATCCAAACCCAACATAAAATGACCTCCGCCAATCATGTCGCCAAAATATACTCATTTTTTTTAAACAATAACCATGTGTTAAAAAAATTAATACCATTCACCGTTCGAATTTTAGTAGTGTTACAACTGTTGATGTTTCAGGATAAATGTTTAAAAATTTAAAAATTAAACCCTTATAATTTAATATTGTGAATTTAACTTTTAAATATCTGAATTTAAATAGTTAAACAATAAATTATGTATTTTGATAATAAAATTACTCAAGTGATTGAATTTATTATACCCTACATTAAATATATTCTAATACAATAATAGCTCAAACTGTATTTCTTCATGCAATCTACACTAAAAAAACACATTTTTTTAAAACTAAACACCAATTTTTGCATCAATATAGATCATAATTAGAAACCTTTTGAGTATCTTAAAAATGTCTCAATAGTTGAGACTTTAGGATGAGAAAGGATTCTCAATTTATTTAATTTTCAATTCTTTTATGCCCATAACTCCTTTCTCATCCATCCCGCAGGCAATATATGTGATCTAAAATTTCTTAGCACACATATATTTACTAAACAACCCTTACGCCGAGCTTCGCCCATTGGCATTTCCTAACTGAACCTGACCGTTACCGTTGCCTTCAACTACCTCATTTTCCTTCTTTCCCTTTGAACACTTCCAATTGAGTTTCCCAAACAGCCCCCCCATCTCCTCCAACGTCTTCCCCTGAGTTTCCGGCAAGATCATGTAAAAGAAAATCCACGACACTGTCGCAATTCCGGCATACAGGAAGAACACGCCGCCGATCGTTATGGCTTTGTACAGCGAAATGAATGTCATGGATATAACCCCACTTATCACCCTATTCACTGCCACTCCTATACTCGCCCCTTGCGCACGGAGCCTCAACGGGAAGATCTCCGAGCTGTACACCCACGTAATCGGCCCCATTCCAATGGAAAACGAGGCGACGTTAGATAGGACCATCAGGATGCAGAGCACCACTGCCCACGTCAGCTTTTTCTGTGAATGGTCGATTATGGTGAGCCCCACCGCGAGGCTGCCCAACGAAATTACCATTCCGGCAACGCTGCTGAGCAGCAATGGCCGCCGCCCGACCCGATCTAGGAAAAACGTGGCAACCAAGATGAAAGTGGTCTTGACGAATCCAACGGCGATGGTGGCGAGTAGCTTGTGGCCGTCCGATGTGATTCCGGCCTTCTCAAAGATTCTTGGACTGTAGAGTACGACGGAGTCGATACCTGAGGCTTGCTGGAAAAAGTGGATTCCAATGGCAGCGATTAAGACATGTCGGACGGGGGGAGTGGGGTAGATGAACAGCTCTTTCCAGACGCCTTCGCCGTGACTGCGTTTTGCAACCTGAACAATGTCGTTGTCACAATCTAGAGGGATTCCGGCGGCGTCTTTAATGTCGCTGAGCTTTATCTGAGCTTCTTCTTTGGAATCGGAGGTTTTGTTGAGGACTCTCCTGGCCTCACCGAGGCGGCCCTGCATGACCAGCCACCGTGGCGACTCCGGCATGGCAAGGACCCCAATGGCCAAGGCCACGGAGGGGATTGCACCCACTCCAAGCATCATCCGCCACCCCAAGTGCGTCGAAAGCTTCGAGAATGCGTAATTGGATACATATCCGAATAATACTCCGATGTTGATGAACACCTGCAGACAGAATCTTTGTAGTGAAAACCAAATCGAAGGAATGAAATAGATACTAAAAAATATTTAAGGTCCATTTTAGTACAAAATGATAAAACTGAGGGACAAAAAAGTTATTAAACAGAAAAAAAAAGATAACAAACCTCAGGAAATGAGTTGAGGAAGCCACGGGTGGACGCTGGAGAGACCTCGGCGGTGTACACGGGAGCGATCATGAGGGCGTAGCCGACGCCGATACCAGCCACGAATCGACCCACCATGAGGAAAGCATAGTTTGTAGCAAACCCCATGAGGAGAGCACCGACGAAGAAAATGCTACCTGCGAGCACGATCGTGTACCGGCGACCAAGCCAGTCGGAGGTTCTTCCAGCAGCGGCGGAGCCGATTAAGGAATACAAGTTTAGTGTGCCAATAAGTATTTCCACCTGAACGTCGCTGATTTTGAGGTCTTTCTGGATGTAGATCGCAGCTCCACTCATCACACCAATGTCTGGATTCCAAAATTCGTAAACAGGCCCAAAAAAAAGGAAAAATTTTGTTAAGCATGATGTCGGACGAAATCCACACCTTTCTTCTTGGTGAGTTGAATTCTAAAAGAAAACTTATATATTATGTAGAATACTTATTCGATCTATTGTGAATTAATTTTATGTCAGTTCTGCTTGCTTTTTTAACTCATACTTTGTTAAAGTTTCTAGTGTCATTTAAATAATAATACTTATAGGAAATGATTTTCCCATTAAATATTTTGCAGGGAAACAAATAAATGAATGGAAACAGAAAAATGTAAGCTAAAAAAATAAACAGAGGACTTAATTACCATAACCAAGTAAGATGGAAGTCATGGAAGCGAGTATGGCACAAGCAAAGGCAAATTTGTTTCTTTTTGATTTTTTTACAGGTTCAAAATCTGCATCGACTTTGTCTGAACCTGGGAGGTGGCCGGAAACTGCATCGTGGTGAGGTCCGGTCATTATCTCTGTTTTCTGGTGCAGAAAATGCAGAGAATTAAGAAGAATTTTGGGGGTGATGGAAATTAGTTTAAAGAAGAGGAAGAGGAGGATTAAATTCAATTGACCGACATGGATTAAGCATGAGATGTGCTTGAGGATGTATGTAGAGTACAGATGCTTAAATAGAACAAAACCGGGTGTTACATCAGCTAAGTGGACCTCAAAGAATTGGCGGTGTTATGGACACCAAGTCTGTTTGTTAAGTGTATCAAAATTACATTTAATTTAATTGATATTTATAATTTTTTAAATGGACAATAATTGGTACACCTTATATTTCAACATTCGATTTAATACTCTTCGGTTTAGTTATTAAAAAATTATTATTTTTTAATCTAAAATTAAAAATAAATAAGTATAATGATACAATCATGCACACAGGGTACAGAAACCGATTGAATTGACTGTATTTATATTATATTTTTAATTATTAAATCGAAAAGTGTTGAACAAAAAATGTACCACTCATTTTTTTTAAATAAATAATTATCATGTTTAAAAATATTAGTTTATAAATTAATTTAAATTTATTAAATAATAAATAATTATTATTAACTACATTTAGTAATTAAATTAAATAAAATTAACATAATTTCAATTACTATAACCATACTCAGAGAATTAGGAAAAAAAAAAGGTGGACCACAAAGAGTTTGATAGTGTGATATTTAATTAAACTCCTCTTATTTTCAAAAATAATAATAATAATAATAATAATTAAACTCCTCTTAACATTACGTAATTCTTTCTTCTTCCGAATCATGTGCGATGCCCTTCCACTTTCCTATCACATTGAGCTGTGTTTCGCTGCATTAGTTTTATTTTATTCTATTTTTTTAATTTTAAGTTATGCATAATTTATAGACTGAATTAGAGAACTGTTAAATCATAAATGAGAAAAACTATCCATTTGGGTATAGTTTATTATTAATTTAATGATTTTT